TAAAGGTTTAAAGCTAAATTAGTTTCGATGTGTAGAGTATTTGATGTTTTTTTAAATATGTACTCGTATGTATAAATTGTACCAAAAAGTATTCCGAATGTTGTTCGTATACGTTTCTATACAAAACGTTGGTAATTTCTAAATTCTTGAGGAAATAATTTATTTTTTTTAAACTCTTTGAAATTCTACTTTAAAAAATAAAAAATAAAGAATTATTAAAATTTAAGTTGAAAAAATTATCGTGACACGTGACAATTTCAAACTGAAGTCTGAGTTTCTATTTGTTGTAATATATGGCGACGTTATTACCACCCGTCTTTCATTTCTAATCATTTAATGGAATAATAATTTATTAAGAAAATTTCTTTAAAAGTTTGTAGCCCGAATTGGTTAAGGAATGGATTAAATTGTTAATATTTTCTAGTATTCAACTATTGTAAAGTAAAACGATATCGAGGATTTTTGTGCAGAATAAAAACAGTACGACAAAAATTAATTTTTCATTTATTTGTAATTCAAAATATTTATGTGTTATATATACAAAGTTTCTTACATTCGATAGGATAATAAATGGCGAAGAATGTTATATCGAAATTTCAAATTGTGTAATCGGGGAAACGTTTGTTTTGATCTGAAAAATGATAAATTAAAACTATTTATGATATTTGAAGAATATTCACATACCATTACATATGAAATATTAGATATTAAAATGATATTTCTTCGTATAGAAGCAGACAACTCGTTGCGTAAATAAAAAATCTTTGTAAATTGGTCCAAGAAATAATTTTACAGAACTTTTTTAAATAATTTACCACTCGTTATCTTCATTTTGTTTCCAGGATGAAAAGAGTAATAGAATTATAAACATGTTTTGCAACTTATCGATAATGATAGCAGTATTAAATTGGTCGACGCTGATTCATCTGTTACTATTTATACCTGTGATGTTATAAATTTACAAATAGAGTGGTCAAAAAGTTCAGTTTCACTTTCAATATAGTTTGTGCTATAAATTCTCTCATAATTTATAATTAAAATTGCGCTATTCATTAAAATCCATTCCGATCGATTTATACTATATATATTATACTATACTATATATATAGTATAATATAGTCGATACGACTCGAGAATCGCGAGCTGCCCGGGTCTTGTATAAACTACTCGACCAACTTGTATTACGTTGCTTTTCATTCAAAACTCGATAATGTCGATAATGGCACATCGATGCATACATATTTACGCAATTTCTCACGAAGGAATTGGAATTTTTGTACAACGTCGAACATGTACTCGGCACGAAAGAGCGTAGATACAACGTAAAGGCTCGTTGCCACGCGGCATGCCCGATCGGCAAAAGCCAAGCCAGAGGCATAACGCGCCTTAATCGACAATATGCATAGAATATACTATTAGGTCTACCGGAAAGTTCTGTCCGCTCTTGAATTGAAATATAACACAATTTTCATACGTTTAATAATATTTATTGTAGAATATACTTTCCATCGTTACTTCTGACTTCTTGCCAGCGCGATGGCAACTCGTAAACGTCATTTTTAAAAAATGATTTATTTTTAGAGGCGAAGAGCTCAACTAGTGCTTAGTTGACATCAGCTTCGATTTCCAATTTTTTTTCCTGTAAAAAGTTTTGCAAAGAGAGAAACAAGTGACAATCGGAGGGTGCTAGGTCCGGGGAGTATGGTGGATGCGACAGAATTTGCCAACCTGGCTCTGCGATTTTCCGACGAGTCGCCGAAGCAGCATGTGGTCTGGCATTATCATCGGTAGCCATGTTTTCACGATCGCGTCTCGCTTAATAATGACACGAGACATCTTTGTGTCAGTTTATTTAGGAGAGTACATGTGTGTAAATGCAATGATAAAGAGAGACAGTCGTATATGTCTGAAATCAACATGCGCATACGGATTGAAACTTGAAGTGACACTATCGGACAGAACTTTCCGGTAGACCTAATATTATATACGTGACTTTAACCCAACGACATGCATTATAACGTTCGATAATAAATAGTTCAATATACATATTGTATACCAATCGATCGTATTATTCTACGGTGAAACAAATTTTGGCTGTCTCGTGGCGATAAGTCGAACATAAAACGCTAAGAATCGATCGAGCGCTTCGACTAAGATTTAAAGGAATTGGACAGTGACCGATTTAGGGTTTGTAAGGAAAAACGAGCGCTTAAAGCGACGTATTTCTGTTGCTCTGTAAGAACGATAAAACCGAATCTATTTAGACTTCCCATAATTTTTATTACAACGAACGCTCGGACTGTGAAATTCATTGAATAATTTCTTATGAAAAAGTCTTTATAATTTCAGCAATTTTCAAATACAAAATGTGAAACCGGTCATTTTGACCGGCTTTGAAAAATATCCAGAAAATTCGCCTAAACGGCGCTTTAGGCGAAACCTGTTCCTGCAATCGATCATATTAAAAATTTAATTCTTTTTAATAAATTTCTAGAGATCGTTGAAAGATCGATGGAGGATCGCGCGAACGGATCGTATCGGATGCGCGTAAGGGACGACAGGGACGTTTTGGTGGGTTCGGAGCGTGCGGGTGCGCGTTGCTGACAATCGGACCGGCTCCGCTCGTAGTCGGTTCGTATTCAGTAGTAGGCTCGCGCGCCTGCCGTGAGGGTGGCTGCTCGGCACGTAGCGCCTGCAGCTCGCCCACATTCGTGCTTCCCTGCTATCCGTCGTTTTCACATTTTCTTTAACACCGAACACCGTCCATCTCGCGATAGTGCCATCGCGTTTCATTTCACGACGGGGCCTCTCTCCTGAAAAGTGCAAACTAAACATATCGTAGTCGTAGTTGCGAGTTCAACGCGTACGTGTGTTTGTTGTGTGTGTGCGCGCGTGTGTGGATAAAGGAAAATCGAAGCATATCAATGGTAGCTGACAAACAACCCGAGGACCACTGTGCGATACAGAAGCATCGGATGCTGCTCTGATTAAGGTAAAGTTACGTCAAAGTTGTGTTTGTCGAGGGTTGGTCGAAACTAAAACTTCCGGCACGCGTTCTGCGTTCCGTCGTTCCAAACGTCAGTCGAGGGAACATCGTTTAACCACATTTGCACTCGAAGCTGTTTTAACTGTAAATATAAGATCGTTCTTCTAACTTATAGTATTTCTATTTTATACGACAAAATGCATTTTATGCATACGAAATTGATTCTTCGGACTCGCGCAACAGTTACACTCTTAACGATTTATTATATCTAAACTTTGTTAATATCAAAATTATCTCAAAAGGTGATATAACAAATTTTAGTGGTGCCTCAGGGTCACCACTCGATATTTTTCTGGTATCTTTTTTATCGGTAGAATACCGAATCTTTTGATATCCTTACGAAAAACGAAATTTTTTCAAAATAGAACAACTTTCGGAACGATCCAATATTTTAATAGCGAAGAATCGTTTCCGTTAATTATGATCGCTCGAAAGCAACCTACGAGAATGAGGCCTCTCTGAAACAAGCTCGAACGTTGTTCTTCGATATAAAAATTTTTGTGACAGTTTTTACGAGTTCTTATACGGTTCTTACACAGTTTGGTAAAGTGAAAAGTAAAGAACGACGACGTTTGGACGCGCCTTGCCACGCTGCGCGTGTACCCGTTTCGTGGCAAATTAACTCCTTCGCAGTTTTATAGCACGTGAAATGATCGTTTCAGGGCAGGAACTTTGTTTCCTTTATCTGCGTACTGGAAAGCGAGCATGTCACGCTTAGCGGCTGAGATGTTATCGTTCCGTCTGACATCGTCGACTTTATTAAACATCCACTGCAACCGATTTCACCGAATTCGTTTGCATCTATGTACATGTTATAAGCTGTACGTTCGCATCGCTCGTGGTTCGTTTAACGCGTTCACTGCCGATCGTGCAACCTGAACAATGTCGTACGATCGAAGTAAGTTACTTAATCAAATTAGTGTCGACAAATTAAGTCGTACAATTTAAAGTATAACGAGAAATTCCATTTCTGTGGAACGACGAACCTTTGGAGGCGAAATACATACTTTGAACGGTGCTTCGGTGATATTTGCTTCATTTTTCAATACTTTTCCCTCCAACCAAATTTTCTACGGACAGATTCGAATGAAAATCGAACGGCGAAGAACTACGTTCGATGATATTAATTTTTAGCTGGGTTTCAACATTCATTTTGATCGCGACGTATCGAACGAACAGAACGTTATTAGGATTTTTGGAATAAAAAAAGAGTTAAATACCACCGATACCGATACGGTAAATTTGAACTTTTCGAGCCGACATTCGGCGTCCGAGTTGTCAACTAATTTCACCGTTTCCCGTTATAATGAAACATCGAAAATCACAGTCCCAGTTGTCGGCGCTGATTGCCTCCGCGTCGGATCGGACAATCGCTGTTCCGTTGTTATTTTCACAGCGCACCCTGTTCGCGGTTTGTGTCCGGAACTGTCTGGGAATTTTAAATTGATT